ATGATTGGCATTTGTGTGAAAATAACGTGCTACTGGTAAAAGAAGTGAAATGACTAGGTCGAAGATATAGATGAGGTTACGATTGTAATAATGATTATGAAAAGTGAGAATCTTGACTATAGAAAATAGTCATGAAGAAGGATATATATATATATATATATATATATATTCAGTTTTAAGGTCGACGATATAGAACATGTTCATAAGGCATTCAAACACAGGATTCATTTTAATCTGTTTGAATGGTATAATGACGTATCCTATAAAGTCAACCCCATCCCAAGTACTGGATTTAAGACGTGATAGATAAGGAATGCCGTTTTAAAGAGAAAAAAGGTGGAGATTGCAGGAGATAAAAATTATTGTTTACTGAGTTTCAATACAGTAGTCAGATAAATGGTTACTAGTTCCATAAGCTGACAGTCATTAGTTTGGTCTTTCGGCAAGGTGTATGTGGTCGCTGGTAAAGGATCTCGAAACAGATCAAACAGTCGTTTAATGATGTTTGATTTTTAACGCTTCTCTTGCCGATATTGATTTTTGTGAACTGTAATTTGAAACTGATCGAAACCAAACAAATTCAGCATATGAATATCACCGTCATTTGTAAAATCAAAGCTTATAGTCAATAAAGAGATTCACAGTGGCAATGCATAATACACGTAAATGTCTGTATAGAAAGGTTTCATAATAAATAATGGGTGAATTAAATTCTTTTCATCATATTTTCGGATCCAGATTCGTCATTGTCATCATCACTGTGTTTAACCGTCATGGTTTTATGTAGGAGTTGGCAGTTATCTTAGTTAGTTTTTAGATTTATGTACAACGTAATGATTTTTTCAGTGGTACAGCTTCCATATACAGTGTAAAGGTCCTTATACAATGAACGTTTAATTGGAAAAGTCTTATCCTTATATCACACTTCCACGTTTGGTTAATCATATTTTTTGCACACTGGCTTTTTATTTTGCAGATGCAACTTGATTGAGATACACTCACCTTAATCATACTGGTTATCAGAATTGAAAATTGAGGCCAAGTACTGTTTATCTAATGACTTAAAAGCAAGTAAACTCAAAGACTAGAATCCAGTGTATTTCAGGGCTTTGTATGTTAAATTTTGTAACGCAAGGCTCACTCACTTACTAAATATTGATCAGTTGATTAGTGGCACTTGTGTTAAAATAGACGAATGAATCAACACTGAAATATACCTCTTTTATATAAATATTCTTCTAATTCAGGTTGAAAGAATAAGTAATGACGATGGTGGGGAAGTAATATGAAAATAATCTGAAAAAAAATACGAGACTTTCACAGATTTACTTTTTAAGTATGAAAACTGTATGCACTAATTTATGATTATCGGCCAGTAAGTACTACTAAAGCCTTAGTAAATTATTCCAGTCAAAGTATGAGTGATAGTTGGTCAACCGCTTAGACAGTTTCTGGTAATATTCTGCCAATCTATTGAAAAGAATCAGTTTGTTGATGAAGTTGTTGTCGTGTGTTTATCAGCAATTACCAGTAATGATTTATTGACAGCTCTTTAAGGGTTAACATTGTTCACATGAATGTTGATGGATATTTATGGTGATTAACAAACAACAAATCATTTTATGCTTATGTGCTGTATCTGACACTTACTTTCTGACAATTTAAAAGAGTAGAAGCTATTCCTTCTCTTATAAATCCATTGCTTATTAGAATAAAGAACTCTAATCAAGTTCCATAATAATTAGGCGCCAAGTGGAAAGACTTTTATTACATGGAGAAATTTATGATTAGCAGTGATGCGGACAAAAATGTCTCCACTAGTGTGTACAGTTCAAAAGAGATGTAAGGCTTTTAATCCCTATTCTCTCACATGGCTTTTTTCCAACATTTTCAAACTCTTCTCATCTCTCTATCCAAGTACTCCTACTGACTAGAATATAAGTAGCTTATTGAAAATAGTGAAAATGAATTTATTTCAAACATTTTTATTATTTTAGAACAAGATTACTGATGATGTTTATGCGGATGTACAGTGAATTCACTTATTTGTCTGACTGTACAGTGATAAAATGAAGACATCTGGCTAGTGTTATTAGAAGACGGAGGTTATCTGAAAAAAGGTGATGTATTTGAGCATTACATCAGATTATTCGAGATGTATTGCGCAAAATATGTCACATTTTTCAGATAATCTGTGTCTTCTAATAAAACTACCCGAATTTATGAAGGGAAGTAATTGTTTGAGATTTTTGAGAATATATCTATACTTGCATCGCCTTTATTCTGGGCTACAGTACCAAGTACGACAGTTTCCAGGCCAGCGGAGATATCCGTATTTTCAACCTCGCGTTAGACGCCGTTTTAATTTATAAAGAGAAGCAAACTTTTAGCGCCGAAGCCAACATTTATAAATCAGTGTTTTGATGACACTTTGAATGCGGTTTGTTCAGTATGCCATTTATAACTAGGCATCTTTTTTGAATAATTTATCTGACATTGTCATAACCAACATCATAATCACCAAATTAAGAATATTGTAGTAAGATGGTATTTTGTTTACATGGTAACGAAAAAATGCCGTATTACTTTCATGAATTATGAAAAGGCTAATTAAAGTAACGATAAAATAATTCTTAGATATTTTATTGAGTTATTTTAAAGTCCCAGAAGTATCCAGCGTGTTATTAGGCTTTTCATTAACATAAGGTTACAAATGAACTAGAATTCGGAAGCCGGATACGGTTGGCTGTTTCTCTTCCATCTCAAGATTAGTCTGGCGATGGAAAGTCTCCCGATTAGTGCGTTAATTGGTTTGCGTAAGTATTTATCTGCCATTTCCTTAACTCGTATATATATATATATATATATTCCGGTGTTTAGTATCTGAGCAGACGGAATAGTTGAAAGGAGAGTAATTTCAGTGACGGTCATTATTGACTTTTCAAATGCTATCTGATTGTTTAATTTCCTCCTGTGTTTCATTTTCACGTACAGCTCAACATCCCTCTTCCATACTAATGTCGCTCTATTTTGCTTTTATTCTCAAATTTCTTGGCTGGAAGAGTTGAACACTTGAGAATTTTATTATGTTCCTTAGTTAAAAATTTCTATTTAAGATGAAGAAGGCTGAAAGATGGTGTGATTTCATTAGTAATAAAAAAAGGCAGAGTTATAAGTAACATCGAGGTATGCATCGTTGAAACTCTGAATGCTTCATGCAAAAGTAGAAGTTTTAAGAGTATCAAACAGTAACAGACTAATTTTTCAATTCTGATAATAGTGACTGTGACTAGATATTTTGAGACTGTGCAATGATGGAGGCTGCTGGTTCTAATTTCACCAACTTTTTTAGATTTAAATTTCACTCACTACCCGTTAACTTTTTTTCAGAAGAGCACTGATAGGCTAAAAATTTCCTTCCCCTCCTTTAACCAACGCTTCCCAATTAATTAATCTAAAAGTATAATCTGTTTCATTCCTGAATTATTTAGAACATAATGAAAATTGGATATACATAGGACAAATGTTACTGTGACTTATATTAGATCAACGAAGCTAACCAACCAACTTTTCCTATATGATATGATGTTTATCTTAACAGTAGAATGAAAGGCTACTGATTGATTTCAAAACAAATCTATCAGGTTGATTGTTCAGTCGAAAACTTCGGATATTCATAAAAAAAGCTTAGGGGCATTATATCAGTAAATTGTATCTTTTTTGTAGACAGTATAAGCAAAGTAAATAATAACAAAAGCAAAAAAATCAAAATTAGAAAAACAAACAGAAACGAGACAAAACAACAACAGCGTATTTTGGAAGAGGAAATAATGATGCACTTTTTAAAACCACCGTCACCAATAAACATCATAGGCAACCACCAACACAATGGCATAGCTTACAACAAAAATGAAGGAAGAAAATGTTGATAGTTTTAATGAGGGGTAGACATTTTCGTAAATGAACAGAATAAAACTATTTGAATTCCATAGTCTGATTACAGATTCTTGTTTTCAGGTACGAATAAAACAACAACAACAACAACAAAAAGTGTTTTCGTTTTTTTTCTTCTTCTCCCGTTATCACGAAACGCAATAGATAACAAAGTGTATTGAAATATTGATCAGCAAAAACTGTGAATAGTCAGCAAGCGTTAACATTAAGCGCTTGTTCATTTACTCTTAACAAGAAAATTAGAAGATGCATTACATGAAAACAGATTAAAGCTATTCGCATTATTTAGGGATTTAAGCGAATGAGTACTGCATAGCATAATAATATGAGTATGCTAAGATAATATAAAACACCAGTACATTTTCAAGAGTACACCTATGCTGATCAATCTGGCGATAGTAAACAGAGTAAAAATGGCTTCTGAATATTAAGGAAAATAGGTTGAAGCAAATACATATCTGAATCTAACTAGTTACTTCCCAGCTGATTCGTGTTTGTTTTTTAGGGTAGAGGGAAAATAATAACAATAGCAATAGTAAAATTAACAAATATAATCAGTAATAAGCAAGTTAATTTGTGAGGAAATCAGAGAATAATGAACAAGTAAATGAAAGGAAATGAAAACACAGACATTCGTAGTAATCATCAACATAAATAATTTATAAGTTGGTATTAAAATAAATTTCAGTACATGTCGTGTATTCATCAATTACACAACATGTAAGAATGATACAAAATAATATTTCAAGAATTAATTAATGACAATTACACAATAATATATAACGATTTTCTTGTCAGTATCAGTGATGCGTTTGATAAAACAGAACAGAGAAGGGAATAACTGAAGGAAAAAAAAGGAAACGACCAAAAGATGAACAAATAAGTGGATCACAACAGGATATAGCATAACAGCGAAAAATAAAACTTTTTCTTTCTTTTTCTTGTTTTCATTGTGTTAACTAACTTTACAGTCTATTGATCTGCTCTCTTTATTTTGTTCTCTCCATGTCTAGAATGGCAATGCAAAGGTCCTGTTGCACCCTTCATTATCTTGCACATTCAGGGCAAACAACACCGTCGTCAGCGACAAGGAAGCCCTTGCCTACAAGGCTATTTTGACATTTACTACAATTGAAACAATCAGAATGCCAATGCTTGTCTTCAAATGTCACGAATTTGCAGCCACCGAAACCTAGACGTTGTTATTTTGTTAAAAGAAAAAATGTATATTTTTAGGAGAAAGAAACATAAAAAAAATCAAAGTACAATTTTCATAGTAAACATATGCCTCCATTTTCATAAACCAGACAGATCATGTGATCCAAGATGAAGATTTTGAATATGGATTTATTTGTTTAATGTGTTTATCATATCCTCGTTGCGTATACGAGAGCTTCAGTGTATCATAGACTGCAGATAATGCCTACTGGTTTGTAGAGTAGACTATGTAGCATCTCTCAAAACGATCTTGCAATTTCAACCTAGAATAAGAGTGCTAAGATGATACTTATACTTGACTAGTGAGGTTAGAGAAGATACTGGGGGAAAAAATCTATCATCAGTTACGACTGTTTAAAATAGTTAGTCTTAAAAAACATATATATCGTGAAATTACGAGGTAATTGTGAAATGATCACTTCAATATGAGAGTCACCAAGAGAACACAGTAGAGCAGTTAAGAGCAGAGTGCAGTAGAATGGAGCAGAGGAAAGTTGACCCAGTTAGACCTTGTTTATTACGCTCTATTATATTTTGATTACTAGTTTATAGGGAAATATATATGAAAGGATAAAAGAAAAATGAGATAGTAGGCTTGTTACTTTTATCCATTTGAAGCAGCCTTTATTTTTTCACATAGTAGAATAGTCGTAATTTTCACAAAACAAGTGAAATAATTTACAGTAATGTGTCAATGGATTGAAAGAATTTACTTTAAAGTTGAAAAAAAGAGGATTTTATAGCTCAATGTAATAATTACATTGTTTCGATCTTTCTAACCTGTGGTATTTATTAATTCAGTTAAACATTAGAACTTAAACATCAACGAAATATTGTTACTTTCAAAATATTCGCACAGTTGTGCTAATTTATACCGCGTAAAAACTTAAATTGATGACGAATTTGAAAGAAATCTTACCACTTATCGGTTTTGTGCACTTTGCACAGTGTTTTGCAAACAACTGTGTGTAACAGTCTGCACAGTAAGGTTTTTCATCTCGTGAAGTAAACTTCTGACCAGCCAACTCACAACTACAATTTGTACACAAGAAACATGTCTTATGCCAAGGTTGACCCTTATAGGTTACTCCACCTTTCTGTATGGCCTGTAATGATAACAAAATTTATCAATAAATGAAAGTGAGAATTAGAAATTAAGAAATGTAAAAAATAATCTAATCTGCAGACTTCAAATTCACTTGTGTAGTAGTGACTAGATGCTGTGGAGTATATCAGAGCAATTTATTATGAAAAGAATCGCTTTCTATTATTATGAAGGGTGGGGGTGGCCGAACCCTTTAGCTGAAGTAAACGTGCAAAACATTTATTCAGTCTGATGTACTATGATACCTAGATCCTATTGATATTAAAAAACAGATAGTTAACTGGGCCCAAGCCACATAACAGAATCGTACAACTTTAATTAGATGAATTAAAACTGAAATCTGACCAGCAGTTGGATATTACACTCAGCTCAATGTAACAGTGAGCCAGTAACCTGAGGGTATCTAGTTAGAATACTGAGTTGAAGTAGATTTTCTTTCAACCAGTGTCCATAATGTAAGTCTCCATTCTTCCTGTCTTTTAATATTTGCTCTCCACGAATTATCGAGAAGCAATGATTGATTTACACATCAATAACGACAATATCATCATTGATGTACCATTCCATCTGATAAATTCGGTATCACCTACCTTTCCTGACATACTTCGAAATTTAGATATTTTTAAAATTATCACTATCAGCTGTTGAATTTCTTAAGTTAGGTTTCTAATGAATTTATCGGACACTTTCATCACATGAACTGACAAATTACAAAACTGCCTAGTGTTGAATATGTCTTTAAAAACAAGGGGGTGGGAGGAAGCATTCCCACATTTTAACGTTAAGCTCTAACATTCCAGGTTTTTCCTGGAATACCTACTGAGAGATCATATTAGAACACTAATCTGATGATAAGTGGTATTGTCAGTTTGCATTTACTTCCTTTTGTATAGAAATCTTCTGACAACTTCCTTAAGTTTTAAGCATTCTGGAAAGATTTGTACCTTGAAAACGAAATTGAAAAAAACTAAGCTGTTAGATCCGGGAGTAAATCTAATAGTGGTAAATGCTGTTTCAATTAGTTTTCCTATGTCATTTTTGTTTATAGGCAAAGAGAACCGCAAAGTACTTGGGGTCATTTTATTTTTATTTCTGATTACAGCTTGATTCCACACTGTATTTTTGGTACAAGTATGGAATTTTCAGCATGGATATCGGTAGCCCAAATTTCGCAGGCCGACCATAGATATCAGGTGTGCATCATCAGGGAATCGAACCTCGGACCATGTGCATGGTCGGCGAGAGTCCTAACCACTGTGCCACCGACGCACATTGACCCAGCCTAGGAAAACTACCCAAGGCTTTCGAGACATTGGCTATGATTAGTTCGGAAACTATAATGCTGAACTATTTTAGTAGTGCATATTTCTTAGTTTGATAAGCGTACTTTTATTCACGATTCGTAAAACCTGATGACTAAGGCTATCGGGTGAAGTAATTTGAAAGCCCACTATGCATTTTAGAGGTGACAAAAAATATGTAACTTTAGTGCAGGATACCATCAATTCCTAACGTAATCTGTATTGTAGTAACTGTTCGAGTTAGCGGTTGCGCTGACCAGTAGCATAGTATTGTGATAATTACTAATGTTATGAGCCTGCTTTGAACATGCTCATTTTCACCAGCCTCAATCTTATATTAAAAATCAAAACGACGAGCTTTCCGTAAGAACAGAACTTGGACATTGAGGTAGAGTATAATCCCATTATGGTGGAAATTTACTTTGACAGTGCTATATAGTTATATATTTACTCTGACTTTATTAAAATAAACTCTCTCCATAATGGAATTACGACCTATCCCAACAATCCCAATAATTAAACTGTGAATAAACTAGCCCAACCTAACATTGATTGTTGACATAAAATTATTTTTGGTCATATCTCATAGGGTAAATTCATATACAAAGAATTTGATGACTGGGCAATGACACCAAGTGGCCAATGGAAATTAAGGTTAAGAATGGACCAGTCACAATCAAGGTTACTGAATTCTTTTAGGTCACTTGACTGAAGCTGTGACCTTTATTTTGGTCACAACCTTGAAGGATGGCCCTAGCATGCATGGTCTGATATTTTTAACCTTGTTAACTGACTTTAGATTTTGTCCATATTTAGGTATGCAGGGGACAGCAGTACATAGTAGGTACTGTAGTCAAATAACCTTGAACCAGCCAATCATGTGGATCTAAGTATTCATAACCTGAAGAATATGTTTACTGGATGTGTGCATAACGAAAGTGAACCGTATAGGTTGAGCCTATAATATGTTTAAAAAGTTTACGGTTTCCATAGGAATGGCTATAGTAAACAAACCATGATCATGATGAAATCCTGTAACCAATCTACCAAACCCCTACAAACCAATACTTGAAAACCATGATCTGTATGAGTACTAGTTACAGGACCCACTGATTCTGATGAATGACTATCTTTATGATGAATTTAACCTAATAATGATAGCTACAGTTTTCAGTATTTCAAATGGATGCTGCCCATTATCATTGTTGCTAGTTTCATCCTAACCCTAATCGTCGTTTCAAGTTTCATCCTGATTCAGGGTTAGGGTTATGGTTAAAGTTGGAGTGAAACTTGCAACGAAGATAAGCAATTATCTGTAATGCTGAGCGGTTTGATAGGTTGTGTAAGTTTCCACAGTAACATCGTTATGATTCGATATCAGCTGCAAAACCAGTGGGAACCAGAGACCACTGGGGAGCTGTTTCATCCTAGTTTAGGAATTTTCAGTAGTGGGTCTCCATAATATTGTTGTATCACATTTCGGAATAGTGAGAATTCATGCACATGAGTTTTTGTCTTAAATGTTATGCCATTCATATTAAAAACGGTCACGTAACCCTTAAAGTACGGTATTTATTGTTCACTGCGAGTTTACTTAACGTATCATTGTAATTTCACACGAATTCCTATGCTAAATATGTAAAAACAGTAACAATTAAAACTGCGTGAAGTGAGATGATATATGGTCCATATAATATACAGACAAATATGTGATAACATGGTATCACATTATGTCAGTTTCACGAATCAATCTGACGTAAAACTGTCATAGTGTGTTGAATATTACAGACAGTCCCGTATCATGAACTAAAAGCCAGTATGAACGAAGAATCTCCTCGTCAATAGATTTCTTCAGACTCTTATAATCATTAAACATAATATTTATTATCGTTAAGATAATGGCCAGTTCTACAGTGGATAACATTTTTTATGTAGAATAATAGATTAGTTATAGGGTGACAAAGTAAGCAGTATTTATGTGACAAACATGCTGGGCTGTGAAATGCGAAATTAGTCATAATTGATTCATTCATTGAAGAGAAGGAAAATTGACAAGTGAGTTCAAGGTTGTAAAATGTGTCAGGAGAGTGATTACTACAAAATAGTATGTACTAAAGAGGAGACAGTAAGAGTGCAGTGAGTAGTAGTTCATCATGAAATAATCCACATATGAAATGAAGCAGGTGGAGGCATATATATTGAGAAAAGAGATAATATCACTAATAATAAGTTCGAATAGTAAATATATATGCCTCCACCTGTTTCATTTCATATGTGGATTATTTCATGATGAACTACTACTCACTGCACTCTTACTGTCTCCTCTTTAGTACATACTATTTTGTAGTAATCACTCTCCTGACACATTTTACAACCTTGAACTCACTTGTCAATTTTCCTTCTCTTCAATGAATGAATCAATTATGACTAATTTCGCATTTCACAGCCCAGCATGTTATCCACTGTAGAACTGGCCATTATCTTAACGATAATAAATATTATGTTTAATGATTATAAGAGTCTGAAGAAATCTATTGACGAGGAGATTCTTCGTTCATACTGGCTTTTAGTTCATGATACGGGAATCATTCACACATAAATCTTATAAGCATGAATGGTCAATTTGGTTAAGTGTTAAGTGCCTACATCGAAATTCGATGGTTGGCAGAGTGACTAGTGTGCATCCTTAGAAATTCTTAATCTAGGGTGAAACAGCTTTTCCATGCCAACAGAAGTTGCATCAGTGCTAAAATAAGGTTCATACTGGCCGTTGTAGTCTCTAGATAACGTTAATATTTACAGACTAGCTATTTATCTCGGTAATACACCAAAATCTGAAAATGTTTTCAAGTGACAGTTATTTATCAGATTGGGATTGCGCCATTCTAAGTTGTATTCTCCACAAGAATGCAGAAGAAAAAAAATCTCACCTTGTTACATTTGCAGCATTTTTGTGAATATTTCTCTTCATAACACGGTACACAGACTACACCATCGTCTTTAGGTACAAAACTTTTTGCTCCGATTGGTTGCTTACATTCAATACATGTGAAGCATTCTTCATGCCACGTTGACCCTTTATATTCGTATTTACGTGAACCAGCCTTGAAAATCTTTTTACAGCCGTCACATCGAGGCGAGAATTTCTCATCATAACAGTCTGGACAGTAGAGATCATTGTCTTTAGTAGCAAATGGTTTATCTGCTAATGATGCTTGGCATACACTACAGAAGAAACACCTTTCATGCCAATGTTTATCTTTGAATGAGAGATCCTATTGAAGCAGAAGAGAAAAGGTGCAAAAGACGCAACAGATTAACTATCGGTTCATCATCTAATAATTGATAGGTCGTTGTCTGTATTTTTGGAAAGTGAAAACAGACAAATAAAAGTCAGATTAGACAAACTGATTGCATTGAACTACCGTAAAACATACTTCGAGGGATGATTACAGTGATTTGGGGCATTTGCTGTTAACAGTTGACCGGTTCCTCCTGAATCGAAATTATTGCACTGAATAGTTTTAGATCAGTTACCACTAAGGCTATTTTCTAGTGATTTGATGAATACATTGAACACTACGCTACATGATCTTTGGTTCAATGGATCTCGTTTCTGAATTGGAAAAATATCAACTCAGAGTTTAGATTACAACATCGTTCATGACAACTAAAACATAAGCAATATGAATACTCTGAGTTCATCTATGAAATTATGGAGTCTCTGGATGCATTTTACGATTAGTGCAGTTCACATGCATACATAACCTTGCCTAATTAACTAACTCGCTATTTTTCTAGCCGGGGTAAAGAGCGAGGGTTAGGTGTGAGATTAGCAACCCCAAACCACCAAATCTTTAAAACCGCTAGAGAAACTTTAACACACAGAAAATATACTAAAAATACAAAAACTTCAAATAAAAATATTATTCTTTGCTTGAATAGGAGAGGCGAAATGATGTGGGCTGCTGAAAGCCTTCGGGAAGCCAGTCACCCGATATGTCTTCTCTAGATGAAAGCAAGGGTAAAAATGGGTACGTGTAATGCCCCTACAATGTACGAGACTGAGAAGGCATCCCAGGTAGCCAAAGAGATGCGAAGATGTGGCTTAGAAGCACTAGGTATCTGCGAAAGCAGATGGAATGGATGTGGATTGACAATACTGTCCCAGTCTAGTTACACAGACGACAACCAGGAACACCGAGGGAGTGGCTATCATGTCACCAGTGGCAGCCAAAGCACTAATGCATTGGGAACCAATTTCATCCAGGATCATGACAGGAAGATTCAACCCAAGAGGAAGGAAGGTTGCAATTATCCAATGCTACGCAACTACAAACAAGGCGGAACAAGAAAAGAAGTAGGACTTTTACAGACAACTACAAACAGTAGTGGACAATATCCCAAATGGTGACATCAAAATCTTTATGGGCGATATCAATGAAAGCCCAGCTGGGAGCAGATAATACAGGGAGAGAACTCATCATGGGTTGAGAGGCTATCGCTCGGCAAAATGAATGAGAATCGAGAATTATTCTCAGACTTCTGCTCTTTCAACGATTGGGTGATCGGAGGGAGCGTGTACAAATACAAAGATATGCACAAAGCAACATGGATTTCGCCTGACAGACACACCACAAAGCAGACAGACTTCATCTGAATGTTGCTGCTCAAGGAAGTGGACGCAGCCAGTTTGTTGGATACAAAGTCGAGAAGGGGAAGAGATGTGGGCTCAGACCATCATAATCTACTTCAGGAACCTTCAAGGTCAACATGAGATACCTCGAAATAACTAGAGACACACCGCAATTCATGTCCAACATTCAGAAAGTGAAGGACAAAACTACAGGGGAGACACTACGAGGTATAACTTGAGAAACCCGCGTGGAAGAACATCGGAATTCTCTGAATGTGGTGTTCAAGGAAACGTGTACAACTGTTCTGCGAAGAAGGAAGAGACAAGATAAGAAGTGGCTGTCAACGGATACGTACCTGGAAGCTAACTGAGGAGAGGAGAATGGTGAAAAAGAAGGGCTACCTCGTCAGACTGCCAAGGAAGGGCGATTTAGGGCTGTGCAAGAACTGGGATGGAGTTATGGTCTTGTCCACGCCAAGTAAAATATTTATTCGTATCATCCTTGAGAGAATAAAGGATGTACTGGATACAGAACAAGCTAGATTCGGGAAAGGCAAATCACGTGCTGATCAAATTGCAACTCTGAGCATCATCACAGAACGGAGCATAGTATGGCAGTCAAATCACTCTCTACCTCAACTTCATCGACTTCGAAAAGGTCTTCGACAGACAGCGTTGACCGAGAAGTAATTTGGAAACTACTCCAAAACTACGGTGTGCAGAGCCCAAGTCTCTGTCAACGTCAGTCAACAGCTATATGACCATGTCATTTGTCAGGTGATCCACAACGGAGAACTCAGCGAGGCGTTCGAGGTGCAAAGAGGAGTAAGACAAGGCTGCCTGACTATCATCACCCACGATGATATTCTTAATTGTGGTGGACTGGATTACGCGTCAGTCTGTGCTTGAAGACAAGGAGTTAGGAAAAGGCTGGATGATCGATAAAAAGACTCTAGAAGCTCTGGATTTCGCGTGTGGATGATTTATGTCTAATGCCACACAAACTCGAAGACTTAAAGGCAGGTGAAAACCGACAAATTGGCGGAAGAGGCTGAAAGGCGGCAAAAACAAGACTACAGGTGAACACAGAGAAGACGGAGGTGATGAAAACAAACAATCAACAGCAAAAATAGCCAGCACCAATCACCATCAACGGGACGGATTTACCAGAGGTTACTTCCTTCCTTCATTTATCTACGAAGCATAGTTTCAACTACAGGTAGTCGGGACGGATGAAGATATCAAAGACAGTCAGTCAAAATCGGAAAGGCAAGATACGCACGCTTTCATCAACCTGAAACCAGTTTGGAAATCTTCCGCCCTCCATACCACAAGGAACAACATTCGCATTTTCAACACCAGCGTGAAGTCCATTCTTCCATACGGGTCAGAAACTTCGCCAGCGCGTCACAAATAGCATTTCCAACAGACCAAAGCAGACTTTCATCAACAGCCTACCACTTCGCTGGCTCCATACTGAGGATCGAATGGCCAGAAAGTATAACCAACAAGAAACTCTGGCTGAGAACAAACCAATAAAGAGCCGATCGCTCAACAAATATCTAGGAGAAAGTGGAGATGGATCGGGAATACATTGAGGAGGCCGCCGAATGACATCGCACGCCTGGCCAGTGCTCGAGTGGAATCCAAATGGGAAGTGGCGAGTGGGTCGTCATTACAAGGGTGATATGGATGAGATGGTGTGGCGAGGAGGAGATGAGAGAGTTTGGTCAGTCGTGGAGCCAGCTGAAGAGGACGACAGAAAACAGCACAAGGTGTAGATGTGTTGTTGAAGCTCTGTGTTCCACTTGGAATGCAAGGTAGCAATAATAATAATAATCATATGCACACATAATTATTTCAAAATGCCAAATGCATTGAGAAATACAACAAATGATAAATATGTTGTGAACTTTAACAGCTGTAACAAAAATTGTATCCAATAATCTGATCACCTTTCTTTGTGGAAAAGTAGTCTGGAGTTGAAGTGTCGACATATGCATTCTTGTCCCATACGTGACGATATCAGGGAGTATTGATCTGTTTATTTCATACGATAATAACTAGTTCATAATTCAGGTGATCGCAAACTGCATATAACCTATGTGCAAGAGTGCTTTATGTTTGGATTCTACTGAAATAAAAAGTAGGTAAGATAAATGACAACAGAAAATGAGACGAAACTGCAGGCTGCAGTGAGATTCAAGCTGTTATCAGCTGATCACATTAAGTGATAATCTTACCACATTACAAATCAAAAGTTAAAAAAACAAAACCTGTTATTGCAACTCATTAGATTAACGCTAGGGTGCTCATTAAAGGCATTGAGAATCTTCCACCTGATTGTGTAGATGGCTTTTAATATATTGTCTCAAAGAGTAGTATAATGTTAAATTGCAGCTACTAATTTCCTGCAGGTGTCTTTAGATAAGTCACGTGTTTTACTGGGTGTATAAGTGAGAAATCAATATTAAGTGGAATCAAATAATTGTTTTCAAAAGATTTACAGGGGTTGTAAGACCTACAAGTGTACTAAAAGCAAGTCAAAAATAAGCATTAAAATTCTGCTATTAGGTATCTAGTAGTGTTTTTAAACAATAACAATAATAGTTATAGTAGTTAGAATAATAGCTCTTATTTTGAATTCCGCGGCAAACATATTAACCAATAAAAATCACCTCTTCAGAATATAATCTACATTAATAAATATTAAACGAAGTGAAGCAGTGAGTGGGCAATTATTATTCATTATGCAACCTAATTTTTAAAGAACGACAAACGGACTGAAAATAAGATAGTGGTATACGTGTTTACATCTTCTAGAAGATGAAATCAGTTGATTAAATAAATCAACGAATCAGAGAAAAGACACAAATAAAAAGAATAATAATAGTGGGTAAAGTAGTAACATTGTTCTACTTCTGTTCCCTCCATGAAGGCAGATTCTCGTACTTCTTCCTATGAGAGGTTATTGAAATGCCTTACTGCACTAGACTAATCAATAAATTTTTTTGATAACATTGTCTATATAAGTCTTCACTATGGTTAATTTCAAGCTAGCGACTAGATATACAATTGACACAAGTATGTATTAATAAATATATATGTATATAGTTTGGGGACATAATTATTTGCTACGTAAGTAGTATGTCACTTTGTTTTCTGCGAACTAAACAGATTTGTGAATATGTGACACATGCATGTTAATGAGTTGGTTGTTATTTATAATTTCAGAGGTAAAATGAAGAATCAGCAGCTTTCTTGAGTTTTGGTTATAATGTATTGCGAAGGAATTGCTTCTTGTGAGCATAGGATTATAGACGAATTTAATTAAATACCAGTGCTGCACATTTGCTTTTCTGATTTGGAAGGAATAAATCTTCATAATACTTCCTTAGATGAGTTTCTAATGAGAGTGCAATGTCTGCTGAGTGACATCAATGGTACTAATAATATGGACAGCGCCATCGACGGAACTATAAAGTTACTTTTATAATCAATGAATGGCAGTGGAACTGAGTTGTATGTACCAAATGTTTTCATAACTAGTAGGGAGACATGCACAAAAGTGAGCATTGTGTTATCCAACAGAAAGAAGAGAACACGAAGTTCAGCAAAGATATCTTTTCGGCGATTTCA